GGGGCCGGAGGAGGCCCTGCCCAGAGCCCCGCTCCCCAGCGCCTTTTCCTGCGCCCGCAGCCCCCGCCTCCCACCTGGGAGGCTGCACCTCCAGCTACCGCCACCGCCGCTGGGACTGCAGCACGCCCTCCTCCCTCGGGGCTGCGCCGGGTAATTGCAAACCGGGTCTGTGCTGCCCCCTGCCGGCCTGAGCGCCCCCTGCTGCTGTAGGTATGCTCACGTGTGTACACGTAGGTGAGCACACACGTGTTTCCGGCGCCCCGAGCCCTGGAGACGCCGCGTGTCTCCCCTCATCTAGTTAGGAAAACAAGGCTGTATGCCCTCCAAGAAGCCCTGACCCGGAGGCCAGAGAGAGAATAGCATCAAGTGAAGCCCTTCTTGGGCCCTCAGTTTCCCCTTCTGGAAAAGGAGAGAGGTAGACTGGGTGATCTAAGTCTCTGCCAGTTAAATTCAGTTTAAGATAACAGAGCTGGAAGGGCCCTTTCAGCCATTGCAGTCCAATGGACTCATTCTAAATAAGGAAATTGAGGCCAGGCAAAGAAAGGAAGTACTTTTGCAACCGAAGATGCAGGAAAAACTCCTTTCCTCAAGGATCTCGTCCAGTATTGACGTAGAGGCCTGCATAAATAGCCATAACTGAGAGGGCTAGTGAAGCTGAATAAGTTACTGGGAAGCAGAGTAGAACTGAAGTCTGAGAATGAATAGTATAGGAAACACTGAGAATATCGGAGGCGGAGGGGAGTGTTTAGAAACAGTACTCTTCAGGTACATATGAGTTCAAGACCTGCCTTCGGGAGGCCTTGTTGCTGGAAGGAACGTAGAAAATGAGGAGACTGAAAGGAGGTCAGCCCTCTTGAGAAGAATAACACTACTTTTTTTTTTTCTTTTTTAATCGTGCCTGACACTGTGCTAAGCGTTCTCCATTCATCATCTCACTTAATCCTTAGGACAACCTGTTTCCACAGACGATTTTATCCCCATTGTACGAAGGAGGAGATTGAAGTTCGCGCAGCTTAAAAGACTTGCTCCAGATTTCGTTTGCAGGGCTTCAAAGCTGTTGCTCCGAACTACTGCCAGGCTGAGGCATGTGGCATAATTGTCAAGCAATGAAAGTTTCTGAGAGGCCTGGACAGAGGCAGTGGCCACAGGAAAAGGGACAGAGAAAGAGGACGGGATGAATTCGAATTTAGACATTTATTGAGGATCAGGCACTGTCTTAGGTGATTTCATGGATGATATTTTCATTGATCCTCACTCCAACTCTCCGAGGTTGTTCTATTTATCCCCATTGATTTAGGTAGAGTTTGGGGCTTAGAGATATAATATCCCCCCCTGAGGTCTCAGAGCTCCTGAATGGCAGCAGCCAGTACCCTCACGTGTTGCTTAGTATTCCCTTTATGATTTTACAGGGGTGTACCGTGTGACAATATAATCTGAAGGGGCATCTGCAATCAGCCTTCAGATACTCACTCTGCTCCCCTCCCCACCAGGCTTGACTTAATAGAATACCATCAGCAAGTTGGTGTTCGAAAGTAGCCTAATCTGCTTCCTGGCCTCTAAGAATATTCCATTTCCTACTGTATAGCCCAGGAGTGCTGTGGTAGACTGAACAATGTCCCCCAAAGATATCCACATCCCAGTCCCCAGAACCTAACGTGGCAATAGGGACTTGAATGATTAAATTAAGGATTTGGAGGTAGGGAAGTTATCCTAGATTATCTGGGTGGGCCCAGTATAATCACAAGGGTCCTTATAAGAGGAAGCCAGGATGGTTGAAGTCAGTGAAAGTGGTGTGACAATGGCAGCAGAAGTCAAAGTGATGCAACCGGGAGGAATACGGGTGGCTCCTAGAAGTCGGAAAAGGTAAGGAAGAGATTATCCCCTAGATATCTCAGAAGGAACACAGCCTAAGGACTGGACTTCTTCTTATTCATCATTTATCCCCACCCAGCATCTAGCCCGCTGTCTGGTAAGTACATAGTAGGCAGTAGTAGGCATTCAATAAATGCTTGTTGAATGAATGCAGGATCTCATTTCAGTATTATAATGGCTTGAGGTAGAGATTGTTGTTGCCTTTTAGCGGTGGGGAACATGAAGACTGGAGGGGAGTCTAGACTCGAATGAATGCAGGATCTCATTTCAGTATCATAATGGCCCTGTGAGGTAGAGATTGTTGTTGCCTTTTAGGGGTGGGGAACATGAAGACTGGAGGGGAGTCTAGACTCACACTCATGTCTCCTGACATGTCTCCTGACTCCAGATCTCATGTGCTACGGACAGTACCATGTCATTGAGAATCACCTGGGGACTCCGGATTGCTTTAGCTTGACCTGTACCTTCTCTGTGTCAGATACTGTCACCTAATTGATCTACTCCAGTCCTCATCACAGTTGTGATTTAATCACTATTTTCTCCACCACATAGAGGAGAAACTGAGACTCAGGCCTTCCTTTGATCAAATTTCATGTCACCCAGATTTCAATCTCAGAATTTAAATTTGATGAGCAAGTTTGCATTTTGTGCGCTCATCATGTCATGTACATTGATCTTTGCTTTTCCGACTTAAAAGCCCCTATCTCTGTTATCTGAGCTCTATAACCAATCTTTCAAATATTTTAATTGCCATTTCTCAGACCTCCTCCATGCTCCGTGTGACTGGGCCAGAAGTGCACTCTTTTATGGGCCTTTTGGTCTTCAAACTATTATTCCGAGGCCCCAGAATTTCACCTGTGTTTCTGTCTAGAACTATCTTGCACTGAAGTTCTCAAGATCCAGTCTACACGAAATTCCAGGTCTTTCCCTTGGTCGTAAGCGGTGGCTTGACTTCCTCAGTTTCATGGACAGTATTTGGAATGGGATCCCTAGAGTCACCTTCTTGCCTTCTCCTCACTGAAGCTCCGTTACTACTTCTTTACTCATGTCAGGCTCCTGAGAACTTCCCATCGTCCCTCCCATCCCTACTCCAGAGCTTTGTGTCAGCAGCAAACCTTGGAGAGTCCGTATGCCCTCCCTTCCTCCGCAGTAGTTTTACATGTTAATTAAACAGCCCTTGCCCTGTCTCGAAGGAACTCCTTTCAGAAATGTGCCATTTATTCCTATCCTTCGTTTCCTGGCTCTTTTCCTAGGCTCATTAAAATTGTGCCCTCATTCTGACTCCTTTTCTTTCCCCATAGAACAAATTACATTTTAATGTATGTTCCTATTTACTCCCTCGTGAATTTTTCTTTCCATAAACATTTATTGAGACCTTACTTTGTACCACAAAGCCTTCCTCACCCTTCCAGTAAATGTCGTCTTGGGAGGGGGGTGAAATTGGTGAAGGAGATCAACTGTATTGTAATGGATGGTAACTAGACTCACAGAGATGATCACTATGTAGTACATATAACTATTGAATTACAGTGTTGTAAACCTGAAATATATAATGTATACCAATTTTACTACAATAGCTTAACCTTTCTGCTATTGTTTCATAGTAATAATAACTATCATTAACTGAAGACTGTGTAGTGGGCAGCTGTGGTTTCTGTCAGCCTAGCATCCATTTTCCTTGTTCATATTACTTTGTAGAACTACTTCATCCCCACTCAGAGGCCTGGTGGACAGGGCGAAGCTGACTCCACCACTGTGTCAGATATGTATGGCACATGATCAGGCCTGGCTAATCAGAGCATTTCTGGAGACCTGTCACTGGCTCAGGAATGGGCGGGAGCTCATGTCAGGCCAATGAAGGTCAGCCCCACTGGAACTCTTGTTGAAATTATTGGGAATCGGCAGTGTTCAGCCTTGGAGCTGCTTGCTATGTGCCCACCTTGACGGGACATGGAGAAAGCCTGAGGATGACACCAGTACAAAGAGAAGCAGAGCCAAGAGGAAGAGAGACACAGATTTCTGATGACAATTTGATTTTAACTACCTGGATCCAGACGTGCCTGAGGCTACATTCTGGAATTTACAATTTAAAGAGTGAATCAGATTAGAATGAAGATTTTCCAGGTCTCTTTCTTGAGCACAGGGCATAAGCATTGTTCTGTATAGACACTCTCTTTATTCATGGTTTAAAGGACTCATCTCCACGGAAATAATTAGCAAAGCAATGCTCATCACTGTATTACACAGAAATAAGAGGAAAGTTAATAAACCATCTAAACTTTTAGATCCAGAAGTGGCAATGACAGAAGGACTTTTGGGTGACTACAACTGAGTCCCAAATTTATATATTTAGCCTGTCCTTTCTCCCTGCTCCAAGTGGTAGTTCTAACTCCCTCCTCTACATCTAATCCCTCGATCTCCATTCCAAACATCTACTCCCCAGT